TTTAGTTTTTTTTTTTTTTTTTTTTTTTTGGTTTTTTTTTTTTTTTTTGCCAAACCAAAGTGTCTTGGCTTTCCATGCCTGAAATAGTCTCATGGGCACATTTCAGCCGGATCCGCATGCCTTAAGGGCTGATTCTGAGGCCAGAGTGCTGTTTAGGACATCTGCCATTCTATGGGTCTGCTGTGTATCTCACTTCCCATGTTGGATCATTCTCTCCCTTTTTTATTCTATCAGCTAGTATTTGCAGACACTATTCTTGTTTATGTGATCCCTTTGGTTCGTAGTCCTATCATTATGATCAATTGTGAACAGAAATTGATCACTGGGACTAGTGAGATGGCATTGGTACATGCCACTTTGATGGGATTGAATTGGAATCCCCTGGTATGTTTCTAACTCTACTGTTTGAGGTAAGTCAGCTTGAACATGTCCTGAATTGCACATCTCTTCCCTCTCTTATTCCCTCTCTTACATTTAACAGTGATCACTTTTCAGTTAAGTTTCAGCACTTAAGAATAAAAGTGTTCACTTTCTATATGGAAAGACTTTCTCATGATAAGGCATTAATCATGCATACCATTCTAGTCAGAGCACTGATTGGGAGACTAGAAAGGAATATCTTATATTGGTTAAAGCTATTCTTTTTGTGTGTATGTGTGTGAAAGGAGATTTATTTTTGTAGACAAGTAGATCAATAAAGTCTTGGCAATAAGCCCATCAGTTACTGGTATCATTGAATTGTCTTTATCATTGTCCTCATTATTTGGGAACATTAAAAAATTTATGCAAGGGGAACAGAGTTCATGTATTTCATATATAGATTTAAGAGCATGTACTTCCCACCCTGCTCTCCCTCCCTCCCTTAGTCCCACCCTCCCTCTCCCTTCCTTTCTTACTTTTCATTTAATTTTTATAAAATATACTTTTAATTTACTTTATAATCACAAGCTTAACCCTCCACTAAATAAAGAATTCTACAAATAGTAAGTAGAAAAAGCACTGTTCCTCAAGAGTATAAACAAGGGCTATAAACAATAATCAATCTCAAAATGTCAATTTAGCTTGTATACCTTACTTTTTTTTCTGCTCTTGGGAGTGGGTTGGGGAATGGTGCTCTGAAAAGTACTTTATTGAGTTTTTACCAAGGAAAACAGACCACCAGATATGGTCAGAAAAATCACACAGGCTCATGGTTTCCCATTGGATAGCAGTGACATGTCAGACCAGGGTAAGCCAGTGAACAAATGCAGGTGCTTGCACCCAGCTCCGTGTGGCCAGTCCTTGACCTCAGAAGGATGTTTGCATTTCTGTCCCTGGTTGGGGTGGGAGGTAGGGATGGCTTAAAAACAGTGCCAATCCATTTTTCACATTTGATTCAAAAACTGTTTTTTGAACATTGCATTAAAATTTGATTTCCTAATAGCTTGTCTTGACAAATTTGATTTGTAGCTTCTGTTTATTACCTACCCCAATCTGCTTTTCCTATTCACAATATGGACAAATTTCTAGCTATTGAGACATTTCTTCTTTTTAAAAAAAATTTATTATTTGAAAGTCAGAGTTACACAGAGAGAAGGAGAGGCAGAGAGAGAGAGGTCTTCCATCCGCTGTTTCACTCCTCAACTGGCCGCAATGGCTGGAGCTGCGCCGATCTGAAGTCAGGAGCCAGGAGCTTCCTCCGGGTCTCCCACATGTGTGCAGGGACCCAAGGACTTGGGTCATCCTCCACTGCTTTCCCAGGCCATAGCAGAGAGCTGGATTGGAAGTGGAGTAGCCGGGACTCAAACTGGCGCCCATTATGGGATGCCGGCACTGCAGGCGGCAGCCTCACCCGCCACACCACAGCGCTGGCCCCACACATTTCTTAATTACTTTGTAACAAAGTGGCAAAGCCTAATCTGCTTCTAAGAATTAGTCTGGTGTTAGGTAATTAGCTCCCCAAGTAGCATGATTTTTCCTCATGCTAATTCACTCAGCTACTCAACTAACAGCCATTGTCACTGTTGCACATTAGAAGAAACTCATAATGTGGTTTTATTTTCTTGTAAACCAATAAGAATTTGTGATTTTGCTTTTTGTTATTCCTGCTAACCTAAGAACATTGTATTATACAAAGTTATCTTGGGCATACATTATTATAGGATCTTGTTTATTTCCAATAATAGCTAAAATGAATTATTTCCTTAATAATGTGTATAGCATTCATACTTTCACCATAGTTACAATATGTACAGATTATATTAGTATCATAGTTAATGCTTCAATATTGTGATAGTGATCATTCATGTGGAAAATGCCTGTTGTGCTAGGAGCAAGGGCCCTCAGCCTGACTGCTGGGAGTTCAAGTCCCTTCTGTTCCATTTACCGGCTATATGACATTAAGTAAGTTGCATAACTTTCCTGTTCCTCAGTTTCATCGTGTGTAAAATGGGGATGATGGAGGTGCTGGGCTGTATATGTAAAGAGCCTACCTCAACATGATTGGTACTACAAGTAGTATATAGGAGCTAGTTGGTTTTGTTGTTACATTTAAAAAGCACAGAAAATCTAATAGGAAATACACATTCTTATGTATCCTTTTTGCTTCTTCTTAGCTTTTCCTAAGCCCAAGTGGGAGTGTGCATTATTTGATTCTTATTCTGAGTCAGTGCCAGCAATTCAACAGCCTCGTGACTTGAATCGGATGGAGGTAAAAGATCTCATTATGTTAATAAAAAAGGATTGTGTAGAATTAAATCCATTGAATTGTGCTTTTTTTTTAAAGCCAAACTTTGGAAATGAACTTTTATAACATTTTCACTTTATACCAGGTCGTTACTTCGAGATTTAGCTTTTTAAATCTAGACGCCAAGTGAGTCTATAGTTATTTTTTTCTTTTTGTTTGAAACTGAAGTATGCAACGTGATCCCTTGACCTTTTAGAGGTATATAGCCAAAATGAACCAGAAAATGCTAATCAAGTTGTTTATTTTAACCAAGTTTTAATTCCCTGGTAAACAATTTAAGTTCTATTTTTAGTAGCTACACAAGGCATAATGAACCAGAATAGTTTTGAGAAGAGGTCTGAGAACTATATGTGAGGGATCCAAATCACATTTAGAGCTCCCTCACGTTTTTTAAGCTTTTGGACCAAATGAAGGCTGATTTGGATGATCCACAAGAGAAACTTAAAGAATCCCTGTAACGTTGGGCCATTAATGGAACTGCTTAGCCAAGTGATCATTAGCTATGAATCAATAAATAAGAGTTGTTACTTATCATCACCGCTGTCATCATCACCATTATGATTGCTGATGTGATAACTTTTTTTTAAAATTTTTTTGACAGGCAGAGTGGACAGTGAGAGAGAGAGACAGAGAGAAAGGTCTTCCTTTGCCGTTGGTTCACCCTCCAATGGCCGCCGCGGCCGGCGCGCTGCGGCCGGCGCACCGCGCTGATCCGATGGCAGGAGCCAGGAGCCAGGTGCTTTTCCTGGTCTCCCATGGGGTGCAGGGCCCAAGCACCTGGGCCATCCTCCACTGCACTCCCGGGCCACAGCAGAGAGCTGGCCTGGAAGAGGGGCAACCGGGACAGAATCCGGTGCCCCGACCGGGACTAGAACCCGGTGTGCCGGCGCCACAAGGCAGAGGATTAGCCTAGTGAGCCACGGCGCCGGCCGATGTGATAACTTTGATGTCTCTTATTCTCATCCAAAAAACTATCTGGAAATGCTTAATAAATGGAAGTTCATTCACAAATTCTTATTAGAGTCCCTGGGCTCTGATTGAAACCATTGCAAGATGATAAAAGTCAACAGCAAGATAAAGGGACATTTCCTTAATTGCTTGTGACCCTTTGTGATTGTTTATTCCCTCACATGTGGCTCTGTGCCTATAGCATGTGTCATCCGTGTCATCTTTCACTCACCTGTGAGCCTGCCAGTCCACCCTCTGATGAGCATCTTTCCTTGACACTCTACTGATTTCTTGGAGTTGGATCCTTCATGCTACTTTCCTCAGCAGATTTCTTCTCATGGGTATAATATATAAAGGAAGTGATTTCAGGAGGAGTTACAGGTGCACATTTGAAGACTTTTGGTTTTTAAAATGTCTTTGTCTATAGAACTCATATGATGAAGAAGCAAATACTCATATAATAGTTTGTTGCTTTCCCTGGCCCTCAGTTTACCCTGGGGCTCCTGGCAGTGTCTGGAGAGGTTTGTTAATCAAGCCAGAGTTGATGCTTCTGTGGTGTTCAGAAACAGTTGTGTTGGCCTCTCCCTCTCCCTCTCCCTCTCCCTCTCCCTCTCCCTCTCCCTCTCCCTCTCCCTCTCCCTCTCCCTCTCCATCTTGGCGCTCCTGCTTATATAAATTTATGAGGTGGTTAGATGATTGTCATAATAATGTCATAAGTTCTTATTTCTATATAAACATGTTATTCCAACTTACCATGATATTAGATAGTCTTTGCTCTTCCAACAGAGACAAATAATACTGATTGTTTGGGGGTAAAAATTATGTTGCTGACTCATGTTGCTTTCCCCATACAGTCATTTATCATCTATCTAAAAGGAAAAGAAAGCAAATATGCAGGTGACCAGAAGGTCTGCTTTATACACATACATACAAGCACTGATGTCCTTGATGACATTATATATTCACCTTTATGGCCATTATATGCAGTTAGTTTTATATATTTTTTGTATACTTTACCTGGACAAATTCTACCTACTCTTTTCTCCCTGTCTAATCAACAAAACGACAATCCAAATACCGTCTTTTCCAACTAAATTGTTAGTACTGGGGGTGTGGTGTTTTAGATAACAAACATAATAAGCAGAACTCCCTGGTGAATTAATAAGGTTAATTGGTGGAATGGCCATTCAAGGAGTTTAGGTCAGATTTTCATAGCTCATGATTAAGTATCATATGTTCTAAGCTATTAACTATTCCATCATTCCTTTAATCTGTCATAAATGCTTGAAATTTAAATCTGTTTTGGTACCAGTCCTGTGAGCAGTGACTCTAGTATAGGTGTGCTTGTGCAGGAAGCTGCAGCTGATTTCAATCTCAGGTCATGGGAAGTTTGCTTAGCAGGTACATCGTATTCTTTTTTTTAAAAAAAAACATTTATTTATTTATTTGAAAGTCAGAGTTACACAGAGAGGAGAGGCAGAGAGAGAGAGAGAGAGAGAGAGAGAGTGAGTGAGTCAGTTTTCCATCTGCTGGTTCACTCCCCAACTGGCTGCAATGGCCAGAGCTGCACATATCTGAAGCCAGGAGCCAGGAGCCTCCTCTGGATCTCCCACATGGGTGCAAGGGCCATCTTCTACTGCTTTCCCAGGCCATAGCAGAGAGCTGGATCAGAAGTGGAGCAGCTGGGACTCAAACCGGCACCCATATGGAATGCTGGCACCACAGGTAGCGGCTTTAACCACTACGCCACAGCGCCAGCTCCAGCAGGTACATCTTATTCTAAAGATGGCAAAGCTATAACCCTGTACTTACTTTCACCAAGAATTCAGGTCTGCTCCTTATTAGCAGTGTTTCTTAGGTTACTGGGTTTCTTTCTTTCTCTCTCTCTCTCTCAAATGGCTTTATTCAGATATAGTTCACATAGCATACACATATAAAGTATACTTTTCAGTGGTGTTTACTATGTTATACAGTTGTTCAACCATCACTACAATGTAATTTTAGTCCATTTTCATTTCTATAAAGGGAAACTATGTTCGTTAGCAGTCATTGCATATTCCCTCCTCCTCACTAGCCTCTGATAATCACTAATCTCTTCTCTGTCTCTAGATTTGCCTATTCTAGAGATTTCATATAAAGGGAATCATGTGGAATTTAGTGATTTACTTCTTTAAGATTCACTCATGGGGTAGGCACTGTGGCTCACTTGGTTAATCCTCTGCCTGCAGTGCTGGCATCCCATATGGACGCCGGGTTCTAGTCCCGGTTGCTCCTCTTCCAGTGCAGCTCTCTGCTGTGGCCCGGGAAGGCAGTGGAGGATGGCCCAAGTGCTTGGGCCCTGCACCCCATGGGAGACCAGGAGGAAGCACCTGGCTCCTGGCTTCAGATCAGCGTAGCTCCTGCTGTAGCGGCCATTTAGGGGGTGAACCAATGGAAGGAAATTCTCTCTCTCTCTCTCTCTCTCTCTCTCATTGTCTAACTCTGTCAAATAAAAAAAAGATTCACTCATGTCATAGCATGCACTGATGCTTCCTTCATTTTTATTTCTGAAAAATATTCCATTATGTGGATGTGGCAGGTTTTGTTTGTCCATTCATCAGTTGATGGATATTTGGATTGCTTGCTCTTTTGGCTATTATATATAATGCTGCTATGAACATACATGGGTAACTTTTTATGTGCACATGAGTATGTTTTCAATTCTCTTGAGTAGATATCCATGAGTAGAGTTGTTGAATTATATCTCTGTATTTAACTTCTTTTCAATTTCAGAGGAAGGGGGAAGGGAGGGAGGGAGAGAGAGAGACAGACAGACAGACAGATACAGGCTGATAGATCTTCATCTGCTGGTTCATTCCCCAAGTGCCTGTAACAGCCAGGGCTAGGCTGGGGTGATACTGAGATCTGTGAACTCAATCCAGGTCTCCCATGTATGTGGCATGGATCCAATCTCTTGAGCCATCACTGCTGCTTTTTAGGATATACATTAGTAGGAACTTAGAGTCAGGAACTGGAGCCAGGTGTTGGACTCAGGCACTCTTCTATGGAACATAGTGTCTTAACAACTAGACTAAGACCCTGCCCTGTGTTTGTCTTTTTGAGGAACCTCCAAACTGCTTTACATAGCAGCTGCACTATGTAAAGTATGTATGGGGGTTCTGATTTCCCTATATTCTTGTTTAACACTTGTTTTCTCTTTTTTATTTTAGCCATTCAAAATTGATTTGAATTTCCTAATGACTAATGTTAAACATCTTCTTGTGCGATTATTAGCCATCTGTGTATCTTTTTTGTCTATTTAAATCATTTGTCCATTTTAAAATTGTGTTCCATTTTACATTGCATTGTCTATTATTGAGTTGTAAGTATTCTTTGCATTTTGGTATCATATCTAAGATACTGTTGCCTACTACAAGATCATAAAGACTTATTTATGTATTTTCTTCTAATAATTTTTAATTTTAGTTTTAGGTCTGTGATCCATTTTGAGTTTTTTTTTTTAATATATTCTCTGAGGAAAGGTTCTAACTTAATTCTTTTTTGTGAATATTTAGTTCTCCCAACACTGCTTGTTGAAAAATACACATATCCAAAAAAAAAAGAAAAATACACATATCCCCTATTGAATTTTCTTGCCCCCTTATTGAAAATCAATTGATTATAAATGTAAGGGTTTTTTTTCTAAATTCTCAGTTCTTTCATTGATCTATATGTTATGATTATGCCAGAACCACACTGTCTTTAATTACTGTAATTTTATGGTAACTTTTGAAATTGGAAGTATAAATTACTTAACTTTGCTCTTCTTTTTCAAGAATGTTTTAGTTATTCTGGCTCCCTTGAAGTTTCATCTGAAGTTTAGGACAAGGTTATCAAATTGTACCAAAAATTTGAGAATAATTACAATGAATATGTTGATCAATTTAGAGAATATTGCCAATCCTAATGGTATTAAATCTGTTGATTCATAAACATGCAATGTCCTTCCACTTACATAGATTTTAAATTTGTTTCAGCAAATGTTTTGGATATATAAATCTACATTGTTTATTAATAAATCATTTTTTTCTCCAAAGGGGTCTGGTTTATAATCTAGGTGTGAGAATGCAATGAAATACACTAAGATACATTGTCTATTACATTGAAGATAGCAGACTCCGAATAGGACATTTTATCTGGAGGCTTCATTGTGGTGCCAAGAATGATCTGACTGAGCATTGTTAAATCCTAGGTCCAGTTATCACCAACTAGTGCTATAACTTTGTTTTTTGGAGCAGTGTAAAAATAGCAACATTGTTATTTTCTCTGGGATCATTTGGATTCTGAGTGCTAAACCAACTAACCTTTTGGAGCATCAGACAGTTCCAGGAATTTACTCTCCTTCCTTGGAGTTTTTAAATTTGTCTTTATTTGCTTTCTGGATGTGTTCAAAATATAAAGAATTTCAAAAGGCATTTGGTGTCAAGTCCTTTTCCCATTCCTTTCTCCCATACAAAGTCATCTTTCAATTATTGTTATTTTTAATATTTATTTTCTTTTATTTGAAAGAGTTAAAGAGAGAGAACAACAGTTATCTTCCGGCCGGCGCCGTGGCTCAATAGGCGAATCCTCCACCTAGCGGTGCCGGCACACCGGGTTCTAGTCCCGGTCGGGGCACCGGATTCTTTCCCGGTTGCCCCTCTTCCAGGCCAGCTCTCTGCTGTAGCCCGGGAGTGCAGTGGAGGATGGCCCTTGTGCGTGGGCCTTGCACCCCATGGGAGACCAGGATAAGCACCTGGCTCCTGGCTTCAGATCAGCGCGGTGCACTGGCCACAGCGCTGGCCGCGGTGGCCATTGGAGGGTGAACCAACGGCGAAGGAAGACCTTTTTCTCTGTCTCTCTCTCTCACTGTCCACTCTGCCTGTCCAAAAAAAAAAAAGTTATCTTCCATCCACTGGTTCACTCTCTGGATGACCACAACAGCCAGAGCTTGGCCAAGCCAAAGCCCTGGATCCAGGAGCTTCGTCCATCTCTCCCACATGGATGACGAGGACCCAAATACTTGGACCATCCTCTGCTGCCTTTCCCAGACCATTAGCAGGGAGCTAGATGGGAATAGAGCACTTAGACTCTAACCAGTGCCCATATGGGATGCTAGTGTCTCAGGTGACATTTTTACTTCATATGCCAAAATGCCAGTCCCCACCTTTCAATTCTTATGTATCTTTCCAGAGTTTGTATTTATAAATAAAGCAAATATGAACCTATATTATTCTTTAAATTTATCAGAGGCATTAGAATGCATATTTTATTTTTTATTAAAATTTTAATTAAGGTATACAAATGTCATGTTTTTCTTATATACAGATTCAGGAGCATAGTGATACATTCCACCGTAACCTCCCTCCCACCCATGCACCCACCCTTTTTCCTCCTCTATCTCCTATTCCCACTCTTAACTGAAAACAGATCATTGTAAAAATTTACTTTATACTCATAAGGTTAACCCCACACTAAGTAAAAAGAGTTCAACAAATAGTATGAAGGAAAAAAAAAACTGTTCCTCAGTTGTGGAGACAAGTGCTGTAAATGATCATTGAATCTCAAAATGTCCATTTCACTTCAATACATCACGTTTTAGGTACTCTATTAGTTACCCCCAGATCAAGGAAAACATATGGTATTTGTCTTTTGGGGACTGGCTTATTTTACTAAGTATAATGGCTTCCAGTTGTATACATTTTGTTGCAAACGACAGGATTTCTTTTTTTTTTTTTTACCACTGAGTAGTATTCTACAGTGTATATGTACTATAATTTCCTTATCTGGTCATCCATTGGTGGACATCTGCATTGATTCCATATCTTAGCTATTGTGAATTGAGCTGCAATATACATGGGGTACAGATCACTCTTTCATATGCTGATTTCTTTTCATTTGGATAAATTCCCAAGAGTGGGATGGCTAGATCATATGGTAGGTCTATATTCAGATTTCTGAGGTATCTCCATATTTTCTTCTACAGTGGCTATACCAGTTTGCATTCCCACCAACAGTAGTATAGGATACCTTTCCCTCCACAGCCTAGCCAGCATTGGTTGTAGGTCGATTTCTGTATGAGAGCCATTCTTTTTTTTTATATAAAACTTTTATTTAATAAGTTTGAAAGTACAACTTTTGGATTATAACGGTTCTTCCCTCCATAACCACCCTCCCACCCACAAACCATCCCATCTCCTACTCTCTCTCTCTTCCCATTCTTCGTTAAGATTGATTTTTAATTATCATTATATACAGAAGATAAACTCTATGCTAAGTAAAGATTTCAAAAGTTTGCACCCACACAGATACACAAAGTATAAAGTACTGTTCTAAGACTAGTTTTACTGTTAATTTTCGTGGTACAACACTTTAAGGACAGAGGTTCTACATGGTGAGTAGGTGCACAGTGACTCCTGTTGTTGATTTAACAGTTGACACTCTTATTTATGACATCAGTAATCACCTGAGGCTGTTGTCATGAGCTGCCAAAGCTATGGAAGCCTCTTGAGTTCACAAACTCTGACTTTATTTAGACAAAGACATGGTCAAAGTGGAAGTTCTCTCCTCCCTTCAGAGAAAGGTACCTCCTTCTTTGATGGCCCGTTCTTTCCTCTGGTGATCTCACTCACAGAGATCTTTCATTTAGGTCATTTTTTGCCACAGTGTCTATGAGAGCCAATCTAACTGGGGTGACATGAAACCTCATGTGGTTTTTATTTGCATTTACCTAATGGATAGTGATCTTGAGCATTTTTTCATGTGTCTATTGGCCATTTGAATTTCCTTTCTTGAAAAATGCCTCTTCAATCCTTTGCCCATTTCTTCACTGGGTTGTTTGTTTTGTTGTTGTTGATTTTTTTAGGTTCTTTGTAGATTCTGGATATTAATCCTTTATCAGTTGCATAGTTTGAAAATATTTTCTCCCATTCTGTCAGCTGCATTTTCACTTTGCCGAGTATTTCTTTTGCAGTACAGCAGCTTCTTAGCTTGATGTAATCTCATTTGTCAATTTTGGTTTGATAGAATACATTTTTTTTTGACAGGCAGAGTGGACAGTGAGAGAGAGAGACAGAGAGAAAGGTCTTCCTTTGCCATTGGTTCACCCTCCAATGGCCGCCGCAGCCGGCGAGCTGCGGCCGGCGCACCGCACTGATCCAATGGCAGGAGCCAGGTACTTCTCCTGGTCTCCCATGGGGTGCAGGGCCCAAGCACTTGGGCCATCCTCCACTGCACTCCCTGGCCACAGCAGAGAGCTGGTCTGGAAGAGGGGCAACCGGGACAGAATCTGGCGCCCCGACTGGGACTAGAACCCGGTGTGCCGGTGCTGCAAGGCGGAGGATTAGCCTAGTGAGCCACGGCGCCGGCAGAATACATATTTTTATAGATTTATTGGGGTATAATTGTCAGAATTATATATATTTACAATGTTTTGAGATATATACATTGTGGAATGGTTATCGCAATCACATATAACCTTATATAGTTATATGGTTTTTCTTTATTGGTGGTAAGAACAGTTAAAATCCACTTTTGTTTTTTAAAACAATTTTTGAAGTATACTATTCATTATTATTAACCATAACAAGAATGCATGTATTTTAGAATTTATAAGAAATCAATTTATGAGAAGTAGACATCAAATAATTTTAGATAAATTCATACTTGATCTATTTGGGTATTTATCTAGTTAGTATAAGTGAGAACTTCTACATTTGTAAGATAGGAGAAAATTCTGATCCACAAGAAGCCTATTTTAATCAGGATTTCACACCCTCTGTATGGCAGATCCTGGGAAACAGCCACATTATAGAGCCACTTGTCAGAAATTCTGTCTTATTGTAAGAAAGCACCTAAAGGACAAGTTTGTCCTTAGCTGGAAGGATAAATGCTATGGAAATATCTGACTAAATCTCAATTAAGATTCAGATTTAATGTATTTTCTCTATATATGACTTGATTGGCATCACCATTTTCTCCTCTGTGTATGTAACAATTTCAATACATATTGATTTATATCTTGTTACCTACTTAAAAAATAAGATAGTGTTAAATGCTAACTGTTAGGATTTAACCAAGACAGAAATGTTTACAAGAAATACAGCTTTTCAAACATTTTTATCTTATATGCATGTCACTTAATTTCCATTCCAACCTGTATAATTCATTTACTCTTCTTTTCCAAGAAGACGTCTGTTAAAGACACAGCTGACTTTCCTGTCCCTACCCAAGATGTGACCAGTGATGACAAACAAGGTATGAAAAGAATAAATTTATTCCTTTAAGAACATTGTTCCTCTGCTTTCTTATCCACTTGTCTTGGAATGACAGCTTCTAGAGCATGTGAGGACAGTTTTCCACATGTTTGGCCAGATTATGTAGTTCATATTGTTGTCATAAAACTATAGTTCCTAAGCTGGTACCAAGAACTTCAGTGTCCAGAGCCTTTCAGCTCATTGGCCCCTTAGTCACTGCTGACACTCAGGCCTTTCTGATACCTTTTTTTTTAAAATTTATTTATTTATTAGAGAGACAGAGTTACAGATGGAAAGAGGGAGAGATAGAGAGGTCTTCCATCTACTGGTTCATTCGCCAAATGGCCACAATGGCTGGAGCTGGGCTGATCTGAAGCCAGGAGCCAGAAACTTCTTCTGGGTCTCCCACGTGGGTGCAGGGGCCCAACACTTAGGCATCTTTCATTGCTTTCCTAGGCCATTAGTAGGGAGCTGGATCGGAAGTGGAACAGCCCAAACTAACACCCATATGGGATGCTGGCGCTGCAACTGAGGCTTAACCTATTATACCATGGTGCCGGCCCCACTCTGATACCTTTTTTGGAATCTGGTCATACAAATTAGCAAATGACTACAGGCTGAAATAATTGAGAGCTTAACATCTTGTATTGGCAAATGTGATCCCAGAACATCAGTGTACATTTCTTTTTCTTTTCTTTTTTTTTTTTTATTTGACAGGTAGAATTAGACAGTTTGAGAGAGAGACAGAGAGAAAGGTCTTCCTTACATTGGTTCACCCCCAAAATGGCCGCTACGGACGGCACTCTGAGCCAATCCAAAGCCAGGAGCCAGGTGCTTCCTCCCAGTCTCCCATGCGGGTGCAGGGCCCAAGCACTTGGGCCATTCTCCACTGCCCTCCCGGGCCACAGCAGAGGGCTGGACTGGAAGAGGAGCAACCGGGACTAGAACCCGGTGCCCATATGGGATGCTGGTGCCGCAGGTGGAGGATTAACGAAGTCCGCCATGGCGCTGGCCCCAGTGTACATTTCTATACAGGTCTAATCCACAAAGAAATTCTCTTGTGGAAAGAGCTTCTTGGATTTATCTGTTTCTCAGTGACTTTGTGGGTGTGCAAATATGACATGGAGCCAGCTATAATATGTTTATTTTACTGTGCAGCTGACAAGCAGTGCAGCACAGCCAATATCTAGAACTGCCAATATCTAGAAGTATAAGAGGGGTCCTCTGCCCCCATCCCATATACTTTGGTAAGGCTTTGTCATCTACTAGGTGTGTCCTTATGCACCGTCTTATTCAGTCCTCAAAAAATGAATGGAGATTGGTATGTTTTATCATGCAGTATTTAAAGCTGAATAAACTGAAGTTCAGGCAGTGTGCATCATTTGCTTAGTTGGTAAGAAAAATAACTAGGAGAAGAACCAATATTTTCGAAGTCTCAAGCCAGTATTTATCTGTTATCTGATATTGATTTACTACCTGTGAGAGAGAGGCTTATCTGAAGGGACTAAAAGTCAGTGAAGCTATTTCAGGCTTTATTGTTGAGACCTGCCGTTGATTCAGCTTTGTATGGGGCTTAAATATGAAGAGTAAGTTTTCCATTAAGAAAGAATAATTGCATGCTCTGTATTTAAATACTAGCTTAGGAGAGGCAGGTGGAACTGGACATTATCTGCAAAGGCATTTACCCTGATCACTCTCCTAACTGGTAGATCTTAGTGTTGCCTGCACAGTGGAATAGTTCTGCCAGTTCTAAATATGTTGAAGCCTGAGAGAGTCGCATAACATTGATCTGAGTGTCAGGAATGGAAGAGGAGGAAATTCCACATACTTCCTGGTAATGCTCTTCTTGGCAAATAGAGGCACTCTCTCTAGAAAGTTAAAAAATAGTCCTTCATCTTTAAAGCTGTCTTTAGGAGAAGCTATTTCTGTGCTATGGGAAGGCTGTATTGCTTCAGTGAATGCTATAGCAGCTTCTAGAGGTTTGTAAGACCTGTTTTTATAAGTGATATAAGTAAGGGGTTCTTTGTTTTAGTGTAATATGCCTCAGAAATGAAATTTTATGGGTTTTCTTTTCTCTTTCTTATTCCCCAAAAATGAAACAAAACATCACTAGCTTTGAAAAGTACTGTCAATGAAGCCTTACCAAAAGATGTTTCTGAGGATCCAGGTAGGAGAAAACCATTTTAATATACTTTCTGTATAATTCTTTCTAGTTGAACAAAATGAGAATTTCACAAAATTTCTGAGTTTGTGTTAGTGTGTCTGATTTTCTCTAAATATTTGTCTTGTGTTTTGTTATAAGGGAACCTTTTGGCTTTTGATCATTTCCCTCTTTTTGGGTATGAGAAGATGGAGATTTCTTTTTCAGTTCTGAGCTTGAGTATTACCAAAAGGATCACTCAGTTTGAATTTAGGATCTTGTAACTAAGTGTAACGTTGAGAAGGCTTGGAGCTGAGATGATTTCAATAAGATATGATGGTTTCTTTGTCGAGCAAGATCAACTGGAGGCTTAGAGTTGTGCCCCATTTCCAAAACAAAAATCTCAAATACGTTTGCTGTATTTTGCTCCCAGGAAGGCAAGTATATGTGCTTGTACATGGAATAGATTCCAAGGAGAAAAATAAAAGTTGTGTTTGTCCAGTTTCTGGGAATGTCAGAACTGTATCTGTGGAACAGTGGAGAACGTCTAGGTCTGTGTCCTCAGTGCTTTCTTAATGGAGACATTGCTGAACCAAGATAAACCTAGTTCAAAACAGAGTAGCCGTGGAAGGCCTTACTATTTGGAGCTCTGATTATGAGGACATGAAGAAATTGCTTATTTGTCTTTTACTGTTATCTCTTTTGCATATTTCATAAGTAAACCATGTTTGTTGTGATTAGCTATCATTTATAAAAAAGATGCATCAATATAACATTGAGGCTTATTTTATGAGACAATATTTCCCAGACACCAAAGTCACTCAGGGTTTAAAAAAGAGAGGGATTGGAAGAGGGCTTGTGGGAAGGAGAGGGATTGGGAATGGGAGAGAGACAGGGAGAGGGAGGGAGGGAGGGAGAGAGAGAGGGAACAAGATACAAAGGGAGAATATGAATGGGATTATATGATTAATTTCATGGATGGAGCCTAAGAATTTGTATTTTTAGGCAAGTGATTCTTGTACACAGCCTATTTCAAGAACTACTGACTTTAGAAGATGCTACATAATAGAAATTAAGGCTATAGATTCATTACTCCAAAAGTTGTGAAAAGTCTCAATATAATTTGACTTTTCAAAATGATTAGGATTCATTCATCATAGAGGAAATGTTCTGTGTAAGGAAAACTCTTGAGGTCAGTTTTTTCCAACTTGGATGTCTTGAGATAAAGTAGATGGATTCCAATTGTTGACACTTCATGTCATGATAATTAGTATAAGCTATTTAAATTTGGAGTGTTCAATTGGTGATTTTCCAATAGCCTTTGAGGATCCCAACTCGTAATATTTTTTGATGATATCAAGTGTTCTCTGGGGCCTGAGATTTGGATCTCATTTTTTAAAAAGATTTTATTTATTTGAAAGACAGAGAGAGGTAGAGACTGAGAGAGAGGTCTTCCATCTGCTGGTTCAGTCCCCAGATGGCTGCAATGACTGTAGCTATGCAAATCTGAAGCCAGGAGCCAGGATCTTCTTCCAGATCTCCAATGCAGGTGCAGGGGCCCAGAGATTTGGGCCATCTTCTACTGCTTTGCTAGGCCATAGCAGAGAGCTAGATCGGAAGAGGAGTAGCCGGGACTAGAACTGGCACCTATATGGGATGCTGGTGCTTCAGTCCAGGGCTTTAACCTGCTGTGCCACAGCACCGTCCCCAAGGATCTCATTTTTAACATGCCTTTATTGAATAGGACAAAATATAACAGGTGTGCCTCAGTGTGTAAAGTATATCTGAATTGTTCTCACATTGTTTCTGGAGCATGTTATGTGTTTTCTAATTCATTCTTCCTACTGCTGCCCCTTTCTTGATATGAGGGAATCCATAATCTCAACCATACAAATATTTAATACCCTTTCCTGGGAAATGTTTGGATTCCTTATATGACACACTGGAGTTTTTAGGTGGTGATGTATAATTCTGGATGTCTGTTCATGCCACATGGACAGTTAATATAAATTCAATTGCTGCCTTTTCGAATTATTCTTTAGGCTTGGTCTTAAATCCTGTTCCCATTTTCTGGAAAGGTGACATTCCTGGAACATTCTAGGAAGTTGTCATTCTTCTTCCCTCTCTCCAGCTAACTTCTGCCTGAATTCACCACATAGCGTGCCCTTGTGATTTGGGCAGATATTCAGACCCAACCGCAGCTGAGTGTGACTTTCAGGGGCTTGGAGACTGTGGAAGAGTTAACTATAACAGTATTGTCTGCTGCTTGTGATCTACTTTTGTAAGCAGAAGAAGTAGCATCTCTCTCTTCAGCTCTTCCACATTTAGTGGTAGTGATGATGATGATGATGATGATGATGAAGTGGTGGGTGATAGATGAGGTGGTACTGTGTTACCAGGGAATGGGGACACTCCTTGTTAAATATTTTTCCCAAACACCTTAGCCTTTTAATTGTTGGTGTATGCATTAGTGGAATCTAAGAGATTTCTTGACCAGTATGCCATCCCAACCTATGCAACAGAGCACATTGTGTAATAGAGATCTTTATCTTGATGTTTCTGAGGTGTGCTGAGGGTATTCTAGGTCAGTTTGTTTTTGCAATGTACTGTTTGGACAACTATTGTGGTTCTAGTGGCTGCTCCATTGCCAGTTGTCACCCTGTGGTCTTACTGGAGTAGAGCAATTCTTTCCTTCTATTACCTGCTCCCACCAGTATTTTCTTTGCTGTCCTAGAAGAAACTAAATTTAGAAACCAGAATTCCAAGCTTGAAAAATTTTGAGCCTTTATTTGTATATGCATTCAGTACTAGGGATATTTTGCAGTGCTAAAATCAGTTGAGTTTTCAAAGTACCTTCACCTTCTTATCTGTCCCTGTGAGAAAGGGGCAGCATTTTTATTGTCTTTCTGCAGATGAGGAAACAGGTTCAGGGAGGTAAAGCATCATAGCCAGAAGGAGCATGTAGGCCTCAGGACTCCTGACCTGGTCTCTGGTCATGATTCTCCATTCCTCATCCACACCATTACCCCATCTGTCTGCCTGCCTGCCTATCTCTCACCAGCACAGCTCACCCACCCTTCCACACCCATCCATACACCAGCAAAAATAGCAAAGATAATGGCAGTTGACAAAGGAATTAACGGTCACCATTGTCTGCTGCTTTGGGGAACAATATTTTAACATAGTCGGGACCTCTCCTGCCTGTGTGTTTCTTGAAAGCAGTGTGTACCAAAGGAGAAGAAGGACATAAAGTCAGCAGCAGGCAGCCTGCTCAGAGGACAGCTCTCTGGTGAGTTTGGCCAGCTAACTCCTTGGCTAGGAGAGAGGCCCCACAAAGGCTTCCTTTCTTTGTTGTGTGGGGTTTGTAGAAGATACGGAGGGAGGTATTTTTCTATCTAGATCCAGGTGTAGGGTGTACAATATTGGGTGAGAGGGGACTTAGACTGTTGACTTTTCATGCTTCCCAGGGCTGTGGCAGTGTTCCAGTTGATTGAACTGAATGATACTTATGTTCTCACAAGTCAAAATGCTTTGGTTGAAGGAAATCCATCTCTTCTGCAACTGACCTTGTCTAAGGGGAATATATTGGTAGTTGGCCTTGTGCCTTTTCCTGAGAATTTGCAGCTCTCCTTTCTGCCCTGCTTATCTAACCCAACAACTTTAATGATCACCAGCAGTCCAGGCTGCTTCACAGCAAGGAGGTTTTTATCTTTGGAGCAATGTAGAAGAGCATGGGGTAGTGCAGAAGACATTTTCTTTTTGAAAGAGTTTGTAAAAGCAGATAAATTTCTCCTTGTTCCTCAGTAGTAGCACTTTTAATATGAATTTTTATGATGAAAAAATTTGCAATGTTTGTAAAACTTTAGCATGGCTCTTGGTTTCTAAAGTTGTCTTCCAAAGAGGATTGAAAACATAAAAAGAGGATTGATGTCCTCTTAATGTTTCTCATTACCGTTCCCAACTTGCAACGTGAAAGTTGGCTCTGTAGGTTTTGGTAGTGAGCAACTTAGTTTATGATTTAGATTTGATGAGGAAAAGTCATATGGTTGACAAAATATTTTACTTGTAAAAGAAGATGTATTTATTTATTTGAAAGGCAGAATTAAAGAGATGAGAAATGGTGGGGGGGAGATAAAGATAGAGAGAGAAATCAGTCTGCTACATCTTCCACTCTGGTTCACTCCCTAAACGGCTGCAACAGCCAGGGATGGGCCAGGTTGAAGCTAGAAGCCTGGAACTCCATCTGGATCTCCCACATGGGTGGCAGGGGTCCAAATACTTGGGCCATCCTCTACTGCCTTCCAGGCACATTAGTAGGGAGCTGGATCAGAAGTGGAGCAGCCAGGACTTGAATTGGCACCCGTATGGGATGCTGGTGCTGCAGGTGGTGGCTTAACCCACTGTACTGGAATGCCAGCCCCCAAATATTTTACTTTTTAAAATGACTTATTTAGTCGAAAGGCAGAGCAACAGAGAGGGAAACGCACGTGCGCGCGCGTGCACACACACACACACACACACATTCTTTTATCTGCTGGTTCACTTCCTGAATGGCTACAGTGGCTGGGGCTGGGCCATGCCAAAATCAGGAGCTAGGAACTCCCTCTGGGTCCCCAACATGTGGTCCGGGACCCAGGGACTCAGGCTTCCCAGGGGTATTAGCATGGAGCTGAATCAAAAGTGGAACAGCTGGGACTCAAACTGGCACTCCGGCATGGGATGCCAGTGTTTCAAGCAGTGATCCAACCTGCTGTGCCTCAACACTGACCCCAACAAAATATTTTAATGATTTCATTCTATAGCACTCTTGGACTGACTTGGTAACAGAAAAGTGGAACACAGTATTTTCTATATTGATAGACCAGGAAACCCTCAAGTGTGAACCCTAAAAGGACAACCTTTCCAAAGGGTTGTCTTCTTATACTGGAATGTCTCCATTAATCAACTTAGATTTGAGAATGGCTTCTGAGATAGTGTTTGACAAAAGGAAAAATATGTTGTTTTTTTTTTCTTTCTTCTTCTTCCTTTTTTAAAAAATTATGCCTTTAGCTTAGAAATGAAATTAGGAAATTGTGAAAATGTGGAAGCCGGCAAATTTTCCACATGGACATTTGTACTTCGCATTTACCTGTTGATGTGTTCTGTACTAGCCCAGGTGCAGCATATAAACCTGTTAAACTGCAGACATGAAACCCAAGCAAACAACAAATAATCTTTGTTTCAGCAACTCCTAAGGATTCCAACAGTCTCAAAGCAAGACCAAGATCCAGGTAGTGTTTATTTAATTTCTGCTTCAATACCCTTTGTGCCTTATTCCTGCCTAGAAATAAACACCCTAAACCAAAACCCAACCCACCATCTCCTATCCCTTGTGATTTGAAGTTTAGGATGTGGGTCATTGTACTCGTTGTGCATGGGTTGTTTGAAATCTGCAGTGGTGCTGGCCAGCCTCTGTGGCCATTAGTACTAGACAATGGCAGCCCATTCCCTGTGGCTTCCTGCAGGAAGGGAATTGTGTGAGATGGCCTGGGGGAAAGTGGCTTGGAAAGAGGGAAATAGAGTTCAAATGTAACTAACATTGAAATCTTCTGTCAGGATATTAACATCAGAAAGTAACAGGTCTGGGGAATAAAATCTAGAGTAGGGAAAGAAAATGCTTATGATGATGTCAAGGAGGCTTGACGCTTCCGGTAAGTAGTACTTATCATGTGTTTGGGCCTGTCTTAATACCTCTTCTCATCTTTACACTTTTTAAGTAGTCAGAGGCTGGTGGAAGAGGGGGAGCCAATAAGGCAGAGGCGTAGTTGATGCCAGACTCTGGAGACAGGGGTCGAGGAGAAATACAGAGACACTGATAGGGTTCAGCATCAAGGAGGGTAAGCCGTACGGGAGTCACTTTTCAGCAGTAGAATTGCAGGACATGTGTGTGGTTTTAGGTTTTACTTTGGCTCCTAGTGACTTTTCTCCCCTTTCAGCTACTAGATATGTTCCTGAATAAGTGAATTTAAGTCTGATTATATTTTATGTGCTTAAAATACCAACATGTAAGGAAGTCTCATATTTTGTAAACCATAGAATTAACCCTTAGTTTTATTTTTAAAAGTCTGTGTTTTGCAAATTGGAGTTTTGTCTCCTTGTTTATAGAAGATACAAACATATATATTATTTTTAAAAACAATATAATAATTCAATTTGGTAGGAAGAAAATGTATAGTCACTCTCTTTGGTCACCATATTAATCACCTTTTTTGGAAAGAATGATTCTTTTGCAAATTAGTCTATACTAGCTTTGGAGTGTGGGGATAGTAATGTATATCCGCTTTCATAGTAGAAAAAACATTTGAATTGCATAAATATGCTTATGTGTACTAATGGTAACCATACATTGAGCTTTGCAGTTTTAGCTTCTCTTCCGGAGAGACTATAATTGAAAAATTTCATAGATACAAATTCTATTATTAACATGTCCAACTAAATTTTATATGTTAATCTTTTAGTAATCGGTCTCCTGGTGTAATTTGAATGATTTTATTTTCACTACATCCAGTGGGGTCTTTACTGAGGCCAAGAGAATCAAATTGTTTTGTCCTTTGTTTGAAAAATAATTAAGTTTATAGAAATGTAAGAAAAAAAAGAAAAATCACTATTTTAACACTACTATATTCATCATTTATCAATTTCCTACAATTATGTTTTAATTGTTTACAGTCATGGTTATACAGTCTCACTTATTTTTGATATTCAGTAATTTTCCATATGAAAATATAAGCATAGGTTATATGTAAAGAAAATGGAAATGAGGTATGTGGTATGGAACAGTGTTCTTAACTATATGTGTGTATACATTATTTACACACATTATTCTTTCCTTTTTGCTTTTTTATTTTCATCTATACAAAAGGCAGAGAGAGAGAGAGAGAGAGAGAGAGAGAGAGATTGAGATTGATCGATCTCCCATCGGCTGGTTCACTCCCCAAATGGCAACAACAGCTAGGACTCCGCCAGGCCGAAGTCAGGAGCCCAGAATTCCATCTGGGTCTCCCACATGAGTGGCAGGGGCCCAGATACTTGAACCATCATCTGCTACTTCCCAAACTCCATTCTCAGGAAGCTGGATTGTGTGTGCTATAGCTGGGACTTGAACCAGCACTCTGATATGGGACGTGTGTGTCCCAAGCAGCAACTTAGCTGCTGTGCCACAGTGGCCACCACCATTCTTTCTTTCTTAAGTAAAAGATGCCACTAAACCTGTACGTAGCATAGAAAGTTCTTTTCATTTCTGTCTCTAATTTCTTCTTTAAGAGTGCCCATTGAAAAACATTGTCCTTTCATATCAATTCCCTTTGATTCTAATTGAAAGTATTAGAACATTTCTCTCTGCTAGTTCCTGTCTGCCTGGGCTCTATCTGTTTAGCCAGTTTTGTTACAGAGACCACCCCAGAGCATGTTACATGCCATTATGATGGCTTTATTAAAGATTGCAACCTTACAAGGCAGGCAATACCTGTGACGACCACAAAAAACCTGGAGATATTTATTTAGGAAAATAAAAGCTCACTTTGTCAGAAATAGCTCAGTGAAGAACAGAAGAAGCTTAATAGTAATTGATAGATTCCAATTTCCTGAGTGCTACTCTTTTTTTTTTTTTATTTGACAGGTAGAATTATAGGCAGAGAGAGAGACAGACAGAAAGGTCTTCCTTACATTGGTTCACCCCCCAAATGGTCGCTACGGCTGGCGCGCTGCACCGATCCGAAGCCAGGAGCCAGGTGCTTCTTCCTGGTCTCCCATGTGGGTGCAGGGGCCCAAGCACTTGGGGCCATCCTCCACTGCCCTCCCAGGCCACAGCAGAGAGCTGGACTGGAAGAGGAGCAACCGGGACTAGAACCTGGCGCCCCTATGGGATGCTGGCGCCGCAGGCAGAGGATTAACCAAGTGAGCCATGGTGCCGGCCCCCTGAGTGCTACTCTAATAGCTAAATATGAAAACAGTTTTCTGAGGTTAATATGTCTCCAGGATATATCTCTGACTAAGAAGTCATTTTCTGCTTTGATGTGAAGTTAACTCAAAAGCTGAATAGAACAGGCACACACATCCTATTTATGGTCATCATATTGGGAACTGGTCCTTGAATCTATCCTTAATCAATAGACTAATGTACAGAGCTGAATTAATTTAGAAAATAAGTTGGTCTCTAATAAATAATCCAGGTGCTAACACCAAACAGTTTCTTCCCTTGTTTATAGGCAGTATGGAAACATTTTAAAAATGCAATTTAGAAATAAACTAGAATTTGAATTGTATCTATGTAGCTAGTTATGTGGCCTTTGACATATTAATTCCTTTTTCTTTTTTTTAGCAATGGTTTTATTTTTTAGGATTTTAAAAAATGTATTTAATTTTAGTTTTAACAATTCAATAATAGTTCTTAGATACAATTCTTAAAATAGAATTATTTTCCCTTCCTCCTTCCCTCCCTTTCCCCTCTCTCCATGCCTTCCTTTGCTTCTCTCTCTCTCTCTCAGTTTTTGCAATAACTTGTATTTAATTTATATTACAGTCAAGGGCTTAATTTTCCACCAAATAAACAGTTGAACAGTTAAGCAAAAAATCCTAGTTTCGTGGTAATATAGGCAAGGAGTATAATAAACAGTCAAATGGAAAGATGACCATTTCACCCATAGTTCCTTTTTCTTTAATGTCATTATTAGAGTTGCAGTCTCAGAAGTTGCCTAGTTAGCTGTGCTGTGTTACAGGTTGAAGAAAAAGTTTTAAATGAGGCTTTGGCTTTGAAAATTTCCCTAAACCTGTGTTTCTCAGGGTAAGACAAGCTGGACCCTTCAACCTGGTTGATGTGTGTTTTCCTTTCCTAGATTTCATCTGTGGCATATTCCCTTGAATATTTAGTTCTTAGCCTCAGCTTATCTGTCCCAATTCTGTATGTGCCTGTCATATTTGCAAGTAAACAGGAGAATAGTTCCGTTATCACTTAATACCATGAATCCCTTCTGTTAAAACATGGAAGTACCTAAGCTGGAGGGCTTACATGTTATTCTTATTAACAATAGTAATAGAAACGATTTCAGTTTACATGAAGCTTTTGGGGTGGGGGATCAATTTAGGTCTAAGGGATATTAAGTGCAAAGAGGTTATAAAGCACCAACGCATGGTTACATTTGGACAGTTATTGTGCATAGTGGCATCTAGGGAATAGTAGAATTTATAGCTCATCAGTTCTTTGCAGTTACTTTGACTTTGGGGTTTTTCCTTTCGACTCAACTTCAGCGAGTAAAGCTTTGCTATTTCCCTTCTGACCTTCCCTTATTTTGCTGCAGATCTTACTCTAGCACTTCCATAGAAGAGGCCATGAAAAGGGGCGAGGACCCTCCCACCCCGCCACCGCGGCCACAGAAAACTCATTCCAGAGCCTCCTCCTTGGATCTGAATAAAGTCTTCCAACCCAGTGTGCCAGGTGAAGTGCCCCTTTGCCCTTTTAGCCCTTCCCCTTCCTGTTGGAGCCAGTGGGTGTGTGTCTGCCACAGAGGCCTTTGTGAGTCCAAAGAGCAGACCTGGCCATTTCCCATCCTGTGAATGTCTTCACATTGCTGTGGCATTCTTGGGTGGGAAAACAATTCTAGACAAATAAATAGCACATGTGTCTGGAGTCTTGCCCATACTCGCTGTGGATCAAGGATTATGACATTTTCTACCAAGTCGATAAAATTGCTTCAACTCCACATAACTACTGAGTGTGCAGCCCGGGTCTTGTTCTCTGCATCATGGTAATGTGTAAACAAGACCACTGTCTGTCAGTTCCTCAGATGCTTATACAGTTCTTCTATGATAGATCTTGGTGATCAGTGTTTTGCCAGAGCCTTCTCCTGCAGTTTATCCTTGTGGATAAAGATCCTGTGTCCTGTTAGGGTTCAATGCTGGGGGGGGGGGTCTGTAAAGCTGACTGACTGTCTAGGACAAAGGCCCCCTCTCCTGAGCTGCTCTGGGGCTTCTGGGAAAGGGAGTTCTTTGAGTTAACAGCTGTACAGCTGGGCTGGAGGTGGGAGAGGCCAAAGGAGTCTTTCTGCTTCCTTAGTTTCCTGAGAGGCAGGAGGTATCCTACTAGGGAACCCAAGGAACAGAAGCTGGCAGAGGTGCTGTTGCTTCAGTGCAGGTGATAGACACAGTGTTGTCCCAAGTGTTATTTTGGGAACAACATGGATTTCCACTGACTCTTGTGGGCAAACTATAAATAACAATAATTTCATGGAACTTTTTCTGTATCTATGTGCATTTTAAATCAAGCCAGCCTCATATGCTAATGATTTGCAGATTATTTTCTTTTATACTAAAGCAAGAAAAAAAACTCCTTTGCTCACACATTAGCATGACCTCTGTGTCTGGGCAGAGCTCAGCATGTTTTATTTGTTCTAATAAAGTACTCCCCTGACAGTAAAGTTATAGATTGTTTTTTAATATACTAGAATCTTGAACTCTCTATGAAATTGATTCTCTGCCATGAGTTCATCAGACAAAAATTTGCCTTAAATTTCCCCCCATACTTTCATCCCCATTCTGGCACAATTTCACAGGAACTGGTATTTAGGGTGGGAGTCGCCACATGTGATGACACTACAAAAATTTCACATGGCTGGTGGATTATGACCTAGAATATTTTTCTGTGGGTGCAAGAATATTAAAACAATCTGGGAAACTATTTCAATGTTTTTCCCAAGCAAGGAGGGAGGGTGAAAGTTTGTAGGTGTGTCTTAGGCTGTGTGACTGAGCATGGAGATGCCTGTTGTATTTCAGAATGGACCTGTTGTGGCACTTACCACATTGCATCCAATAGTGAAAGAGGCAACACTGGATTTGGAGCTCAACTCAGCTGCTTATTAACTGATTTTCTGCAAGTGGGTTAATCTTTTGGTATGTCAGATTCCTAATCTGTGAAATAGGGCCAATACTCCATAGAGTGGAAAGGTTTTGGTGAGCGAAACATAGTCTGAATGTCAATATGTTTGGCCTTGAGACCTTAATAGGCCCATATTCTCATGGCTTGCAAGTTCCAGAGATTTCATGTCACCAGTGGCCACCCTTGACCAGTGAGGACGAAACCCCCTGACCCCCCCCCCCCTTTTAAGATTTATTTTATTTATTTGAAAGTTACAGAGAGAGGTAGAACCAGAGAGAGAGAAAGAGAGAGAGAGAGAGAGAGAGATCTTCCATCCACTGGTTTACTCCCCAGATGGCCACAATGGCCGGAGTTGCACCGATCTGAAGCCAGGAGCTTCCTCCGGGTCTCCCATGAGGGTGCAGGGGCCCAAGGACTTGGACCATCTTCTACTGCTTTCCCAGGCCATAGCAGAGAGCTGGATCGGAAGTGGAGCAGCTGGGACTCAAACTGGTGCCCACATGGGATGCCGGCACTGCAAGGTGGAGCTTTAACCCACTGAACCACAGCGCCAGCCCCCCTCCCGACTCCCTTTTATGCACAGTTCCTCAGAAGACTCAGAGAGGGACCAAATCCCAGTTACCTGTCATAGTACCCCATTAACTTAATGTACCTTTTCTTGGCTTTCGTCCTTCCTGTCTTATCTCATTCCTCCCCCCACCCCCACCCCCAAAAAAAATACCTGTTCTTCAGTCCCTGTCGCAGAGGCTTCTTTAGGGAGAACCTGAGTTAAAACAGCTTCCTTTGATGCCACCAATGTTAATATGACTTCAAGTTGTAAAGCATTTTGGTTTGACAGATGCCCTGGTGAGAACTCTTATGGTAGTTCCAGAGAAATCCAATTCTTGGGCAAAGAACTGTTAGGTGGGTGACATCTGTCTTTATGGCCAAATTCCATTGTCTTTTCAGTACAGATTTACACAAATGGAATTTTTTTTTGACAGGCAGAGTGGACAGTAAGAGAGAGAGAGACAGACAGAAAGGTCTTCCTTTGCCGTTGGTTTACCCTCCAATGGCTGCCGCGGCCGGCGCACCGCGCTAATCCGATGGCAGGAGCCAGGTGCTTCTCCTGGTCTCCCATGGGGTGCAGAGCCCAAGGACTTGGGCCATCCTCCACTGCACTCCCTGGCCACAGCAGAGAGCTGGACTGGAAGAGGGGCAACCGGGACAGAATCCGGCACCCCGACCGGGACTAGAACCTGGTGTGCCGGCGCCGCAAGGCGGATGATTAGCCTAGTGAGCCATGGCGCTGGCCCACAAATGGAATTTTAACAGGCAGTTTAAATTTAGCACATGAATGCTAGTATGTTTCTGCAGTTTGGAAAGCAGGTGGTATCATTGCATCTACTTCGTTCCCATGTTGGTTAATTCTCGCAGGAAAGTCCAAGAGTCTGAATTTTGTAGAGTTTTAGTGTCTTGCATATTGCCAGGAACTAATTATTACAATTCTGACAAACTAGAAGCACATAGTCTAACCTAGCAGAAGAGTCCGCCCAGTTAGAATTTTGAAAGGCCTCCAGTGAGCTCCTTGCCACATTTGTGTTGTGTATGACTGTATACCAGTGGGGTCACACTGTACTTGCTTTTCTATGTCCTCATATTTCCAGTTAGCTATCTTCCTATTTCCTAATGGAGAAATACATTATTCTTTTAATGCCTGTATGATTATTATACTGTAATTGACTCCGTACTGATGAGGAGTTCTTTCTCTCTCCCTGCTTCTCTTTTTCTCTTCCCCAGACTTTCCTCTCACTCACTACCCCCTGACCCTACTTGCTCCTTTCTCACTCTTAAAAGCGTCTCTCTCACTCTCTCTGTGTTCCCTTCACACCTCTCCATCTCATGTGCTCCTTCCTGCTTCCCTGTCTTCCTTTCCTTCTCTTTCACTTTTGGTTTCTCCTTCCTTCTCTCTCTCATCCCAACCTCTGATCTGTGTAAGCCTTCCTTTGCCAGGCTTCCCTGCAACCCCACTTTACTCTTAGCTTATAAACAAAGCAGAGGTTATTAATGATTTCATATCCTTATCTTTGTTTCCAAATCTGAGTGTTTTCTTGGGCAAAATCCTACATAGAGTTGTGTGATCAAAGGCTGTGGACATTAAAGTATAGGTATATGTTGCCAAACCATGGTATAAGAAACCTGTTTATCCCATTGCTAACATTGTCTAAGAGTGTTTCCTCACATCCTTGCCAACACTGGTTAATGTTCATCTTTTTAATTGTTACCTGTGTGATAGGCAAAAATTTGTGCTTCCCTGATGCCTAGTGAGGCTAAGCATCTTTTCCTATCGTCATTGGCCATTAGGATTCTTTCTTTTGTGAATGACTTGCTCTGTAAGCTTAGCCTTCTTATCTTGGTACATCTTCCTCCAGTCTGCTCCTCCATCCTCTCCTTCTGCCAACTTTCACCATTTAAGATAACCTCCACTGTGGCTATCCTGTTTTAACAATAGAAGAATAAGGAAAGACAAAGAGCAGAAGATACTGTGAGATAAAGCAAGGCATGGACTTGAGTTGAAAAGGAAAGATAAAATGAAATCCATGTTTAGAACATGGAACTTTATGAAGAAAAACAGTGAATGAAGCTAAGTTGCTGATACCATGAGCCCTAAAATGGAGTGATTGTGTGGAGAAGAAACAGGATAGACAGATGATGCATAGAAGTAAGAGTGAAATGAAGTGAGGAGAAAGATAGGATAGTTGTTAAAAAGAAGGAAGCAATCAACAGAATAAAAGACTGGAACCAAAGGAGAGGGAGTCCATAGATTCTTGGTTTAGTGTTCAAGTAGGATCTAAGGGAATGGTTTAGAAGTGAGTACCGTTAATGCCTTTAAATTTATGGAAATAGGTAACATGATATGTGGGGGGAAAACAAAGTGATGTTTTAGCATGTAAATCTATAAAAAATGAAAAAAGATAACTTTGGGAAAATAGGACAATTGGCTTTAACTTTGATATCTATAAAGAAAGTGTGAACATGTGATTTATAGGAGCCTAGACTATTCCAAGGCTTCAAGTGTGGATATCATACCTAAAGCATGTGCTTTCATTGAGACAAAGTGACATAATCGGATTACTGTGTGTAACAGGGAGATCACATTTATAATAGCTGATGCAGGTCCTGGAGCCATCCCTTCACAGTCCATACAGTTGCTGTGTATGAGAGACAAAAATGTTCAAGAAGTCTTAAGTCAGTGAGAATGCAAGTGTGAAAATCCTAGATAAAGTAGTCAAACCAGAGACTTGCTCAGTGAGATTTAAATTTTATAGCTCTATACTTATAGCCATGAAACATCTTTTATTATTGAAATTTCTTTAAGAAAAATCATACCATAAATCCAGTCCTTTTCAGAACTCACCCTCCATTTCCTCAATGAAATAGTTTTTTTCATAAGGTGCTTTTTTTTGCATAAAAAATTTCTTCTGTTCCACTAGATAGGGTGAGTACTCCCCTCCTTCCACTCTTGACCCTATTCCACCTCTTCCAAAGCCATGACTAAGATTTGCAAACTGAGGTTTCCATGG